CACACACACACACATCCACTTATACACCTTTCCTGCCTCAACCCCCCCCGCCCCCCCCGCTCGGTCTCACCTCTGGGAAAGTTGCACTGCTCCCCCACGCTGATCTGAGAAGTGTTGACCAGATAGCCAATAGGAACAGTCCACCCCACCGTGGTGCGTATGCCGGGGTGACAGGAGCTACGCTCGTGCATCTCCAGCAGGGACAGGTCTGAGGAGGAACGACGTGCCATCGCTACCACGTAGTAGCTAATACCATCTGGAGGGAGGGATTGGGAGAGGTGGAGAAAGCAATTGGGAGTCATTTTTCAGATCAGGAGAGCATGGGAAAAAAGGAAAGAAAATTATTAATAAAGATACAAAAAGTAATGCATCTGTATATATGAGGCTCTAGCAAGCGGAAGTTATGTTGCAAGATATGCAGATTTCAACATCTTTGGGTATAACCATGACTTTACATTAAGTGACATACATTAGTGAAGCTGCTGAGGCTTCAGTGTCTACCTGCTGAAAGGCAGAAACCTGTGACTTACCCACTCTGTTGTGGGACTCTCCTGCAGCCAGCTCTAGGCCATGGCAGAGGCCAGCAGCATAGATGTCATCTGCAGACATGGAGGCTGCATCTGCTGTCCCATTCTGACAAAAACACATATATTTTCTCCATGTCAGATGACTAATGCACAACAACGTGCACAACACAAGCTTGTTTTATTTGACTTGTGCAGCTGGAAATGATTTCAAATGACAAGTATCTGATAGACCTGCTTACCATTTAAATTACAGATATATATCAAAAAGCTAAATGTGGCCAGTTAATGAAGATGTGGCCATACTGAGATGGTGTCAAACTAAACGGTCCAGAAGAACTGCTGAAGATCATGTGTAATATTTCAGCCTCTTACTTTCCACCACCAAAATCTCATTTTCTTTTGGAATTTGAGTAATAAATTAAGTCGAAAATAATAATCATATTATGTAATGCAGACTAGAAAATCCACTTTCCCATCCTGTTTCTTCAAATACCTTGATTTTGTCAATACAATCTCTGGTGTTCAGGCCACGGACACATTGCAAAGTCCCTCTAATATTCTGAGATGTAGCATTCCCAGCCAAATCCAGACACTTCTGCTCCTCAGCGTCAGACAATACACACCAGGAGACTGTAAATTAAGTGAAAGGTAAATGCAAATTTTCCTGTAGAAGAGCACAAACGCTGTATCTGCAAAGGTGTAAAGAAAACTTCATATTTTAAAACATTACTTCAAACATCTAAGTAAGAAATAGCCTTAAATTGAAGTTCTTTTGGACGTACCTATAGTTTTTGGATTGGAGACACAGCTGACAGAGAGAAGAGGCAGAAGCAGGAGGAAAGCTACAGGCAGCCTTCTCTCTGGACACTCCATGTCGGCTCTGGTAGGAAACCTGCTTGGGACAATCTCAGTAATACAAGAGAGATGAAGAGCAGGTGGATTTCATTGAAAAAAGAGTCACTCGGGTACCCCCTCCCTCTCATATAACCTGGTCCTGAGACAGAAAGAGAGAAGGAGGGGTAACAGGTGGGAGAAGGAGGCAGGTAGACTGGATGTAGAAAGAAGAAAACATTACATTATTCCTCTATCCCCCGCCTCTTAAGTCAAAGTGCTCAGTAGATAATCCTTCCTCCATCTCATGATAGCAGTATAGCATTTCCCCCTTCAATTATCCACTGAGACTTATCCCCAGTGGAAAGGATAGTGGTGGACACACGTAGACTCGGAGCAGTTCAGGTCACCTGGCACACAGTGTTGACCCGGGGTCTTTAATTAAAAAAGCTGTGGACAATGTGTCTCTGTGCTGGAGCTGTGTTCGTGGAGAATAGATACCGGCTGGGTCTTGCTCCGACTCACTGGAGACTAAAGCTCCAGGTAAGCAAGAACAAACAGCACTGGCTATTGTTCGCAGCCACAGGATCCAGTGGAGGGAAAACATACCGGCTATTTGATACAATTCTCCCTTTTCACTCTCTTTGCACACACATACAGTGATATGTGATCAGAGCCACCCGAGAAGTAAATAAATCTAAACAGGTAGAGTTTGTAGATGAGTAAAATCATTCATCTTCTAGTTCACCTTTTAGTTGCAGTGTTGTGTAATGATGTATAAGCATGACTGCACGGGAGATGAAGGGTAATCTTTGTTTTTTGGAGCGGGAGAGCTTTTTAAGGGGGCAGGATGAGGTATCTGATCCTCAACATGCTTGGGTGAAGGGACAAGGAAGCACAGAGGGTCACTTGGACTTTTGTCTGTTTGCGCAATTAAAGGCTGCAAATCAATCAGTGAGCTCCAGTCCCTTTTTTTCCCTTGGAAGTTTGATAGCCTCGAACTGAGAAGCACCTGATTCACCTGCGTACTGCTGGAAGATGCACGGAGAACCTTGTTTTTAAGCACAGAGGGTCTTTTTAAATGAAGCAATTATATGCACTTTTTCAAGAGTTCAGCCCAAGGAAGCTATTAAGCTTGTCTCATCTAACTTTTGACAACAATCTAACAGCCTCACAAAGTCAGTTATATGGCTTTTGATGTGTGATACAGTGTATCTGCTCTTTCCACCAAAAAGTTAATGTTTCATTTCAAAAAAGTGCACTAATTTCTTATATTAGTGGAGGTGGTCTCATGTAAATAAATCAGCATATGATGACTTTTGGTATTAGACACATGGCATATATTTTACTTATTCACAAGTATATATTATGTTCCAGGTTAATTATCTGTCTGTTTATCTGTCATGCAAACAGTAAACCACAGTAAAACATTCAAGTTGACTCTCAGAATAAACTGGGAGTGGCTCATATGACAAAACACTCGGATTGATGAATCAAGCATTGATCTAAATTTAGCTTCACTGCAGACTTTATGGAGCTGTAACAGAGAATGACAGTGACTGAGGTGTCAAAAAAAATGTATTCAACAGAAATGTAGTCATCAAAACTAAGTAACTACACAAATGCACAAAATACAAGAGAGATTATTAGCTGAAGTTAGTACATTATTAAAATGTACCCATAATGCCGATAAACTGACCAATGATATGAGTTTTATTAAACTAACGATCATCATTGATAGTTATTAAACAAATGTCTTATATGGGGAAACTAAACTTTATTGACAATTTCTTTAACCAGTAATTTGTTCTGGATGCTTTATTGTCCGTCTGTGTTGTTTCTAAATGTCTTTGAAGCTATTTATGTGACATAAGATTGAGAAGTGAATGCTTAAGCACATAAACTGGACTGTAAGATAACAGTATGATTTAGTCAATATCACAGGATGTTCAATGACTTCTCTCTGATGCTGTTAAAGTTGTCTGAGTCATACAGTTTGTATTTGGAGGGGACGTGCTCATACACCACTCCTCCTCTAAGTCTATCTTTAGACTAAAGAGTGAGTTACATATGAAGTAATTAATGACATCTTTTTTATGATAGTGGGTTTCAAATTCTAGCTATACAACAATGTAAAAATATATCTGTATGTAAATATGCAAAATATGTAATATGTTAAACTTACACACTTATAAGAGACTGTCCCATATTTCAATATGTATCTAAGTATAGAAGTTTGAAGCGTATGTACTTATAATGTTGTAGTAGTAATGAATGTTCATTCATTGCCTTTTTTCTTCTCTCTGCACATACATTTCACATACTATTCATATCATGATCGTGAATTAACTTTAAATAAAATTCAAAATAAAACTCAAGATAAGATAAAACTCAAACTCAAGGACTTAAAATGTAAAACCTTTAGCAATGGTGCAAAGTAACTACACAAGTACTGCACTTATACAACACTGAGGTACTTGTACTTTACTTATGGTACTTACTCTACTTATACTTTCATTTAATGCTTTTTACATTTTCACTGAAATGGGTCATTCTGCCTAATGAATACTTTTAATTTATAATTGTTTTTTTTGTTCCCCACAATATTTTTATTGTCTTTTTCTTGTTTTGAACATCTGAACAGTTTAACACTATAAAAGCATACATTACACAGTCACACACACAAAATTGTATTTTCAGAAAAAGCTTAAGTTTATGTCTTACTACTTTATTTATATTCATGTAAGGCTCCTACAGCTGAACAAAGTCTTGCCCTTTGCGATGTAGGCTAGTCCAGACCAAAGAAAAGCTCCTTTCTCCGCATACTCAATAATGGTGCATTCGTACTCTTCCAACATAGTGCAATAGCCCTTTAATTTATAATTTGTCACTTTACATAGGCATATATTTAGCTAATACGTCTGTACTTATACTTGAATAAGATTTTAAGTTCAGAACTTGCACTAGCAACTTTAATTACATTACATTTAATTACATTTTAATAAACTACACTACACTACACTGGAATACTTTACCGTGGGGGGGTTAGTACCCAATGAACTGCCATATAAAGCCCACTGCATTAATATCTCTCTGCTTGTTGTTCGCCTACCCGACCTGTTGGAGGACTCCTCCGCCCCACAATGCACCTTGCTGATAATGTTTTGGTGACGTCAGTAGGTGGGCTGGGCTGTGGTCCTGCTTTTCTTCTTCTTCTTCTTCTTATCGCCAAAAAAAAACAACAAAAAACACGTAAATAGAGGACACAGAGGAGCCACCACAGAATGAGTTAGAGGCTGTATCTCCCGTGTGCCAGGTAGGCGGGTGTGTGTTTGTTGTAAATATGGCTGTGTTGTGGGTTGAGTCCTCCGCCGGGCTGCGCTTTGTGCTGTGCAGCTTAGCTTAGCCTCGCTGGGGGCTAACAGCCGTCTGTCTGTCTGACTGGCGCCTCCGAGGCGACTGTGGACGGCCAATAAAACCTCTTGTTAATGGCCTGTTAGCTCCAGCAAACACACCGGCTCCACAGTCCGTGAGGGGAGACGTTTTGCTGGTAGCTTTTCGCTCGCTCGCGTGATTTACGCCACAACCACGAGCTGTGACATTGAGATTTAAAGGTGTTAGCCTGCTAGCGGAGTTGTGTTATTGTTTGTTGTCAGTGCTACGTTAGCCTGCAGAGGAACAGCAGAGCAAATGTTGCCTTTTTAAAGAAGCAAGCAACCGCTTGGTTGTATTACGTCAAGGTAAAGACAGGTAACTGTTTAAACTGATAACTGTGTAATTAAATTCCAGGTGGTTGTCTTGGAAATAGCTGCAGGTTATTCTGTAATCAGTAATGTGTATTAAATAAAGCTTTGACAGAGACTAACAGAGGACTCTTTGCGTTCAGCCATTATAAGTTGATGCTTCCTTTCTGTCTGAAGCCTTGGCAGGGATCATCAGAATACATAGACGGGGTAAATGTAATTATCCTATTTGCAAGCTTGTACTCATTTGAACTCTCTGTGGCTCCTCTTCCCTCCCTCTGTCAGTGCACTGAAACATGGATCGTTGCGGTGTCCACGTCCTTCTGCTGCTCCTGCTGCAGGCCCCGCAGATCTCAGCTGAGGGCTCAGGTACTGTCTCTCCTCTTTATGTTTTACTGCCATCAAACTGCGATGCGTCTTGTTCTGTTGTCTCTTCTTACTGTGAATTTGAGGTGCATGTAGGTGATACTATATACAAGTGTCATAATTGCCATGTAGTTTCACCATTTGGCAATACCACGAAAACATAACGGCTTGCTAGAAATTATTGCAACAACTAATTGGGTCTCCAGAAAGCAAAATGGTGTTTACAGTTGCAACTTAATTGGTTTCTCTCACACAGCAGCATTCCTCTTTCTTAAAAAAAATCTTGGCGACCAACCTCCTCCGAGAGTACCGGCCTCTCTCCATCTCTCTCAAACAACTATCGCCCTTTGCTATGCACTTAAATGTGTTACTTGATGCACCTGCAGCCTTATGGCACTTATGTCAGGAGTGGTGCTGGAGCCAGATGTGATGCATATAACCCCCAAAAGCACTATTTGTGTGTCATGGATTAAGAAACATGGATATATAAAATATGGTCTAAAACAACCTACCCGCAGTGCTCCATTCTGGCTGTCCTATCCAAGCAAACTCCATTTTGCAACAGATGTTTAACAGTTATGAATCTCCACTGCCAAACCGGCTTACAGAAAAATGCAGTTTCACAATGAGCAGTGTTTTGTGGAGGATTTGTTATTTGACTATTCTAGTAATCATTTATGGATATTAAAGCCTTCATTTTGTGTGCAGTAGAAGTCCCAGCCTCCTGCTGACAGCTGCTACAGGGCATCCCGAGTGCCCATTGCTGCTTGTCTGTCTTTTAGTGTTATGTTTTGCCAGATGGGCAGCTCGCTAGTTTGAGTTTGAGTGAGAAAGTTTGTCTGTTGGCTCGCTGCCTGAAATAAATCAACAGCGGCTACGTGTTTCTATTCACTGCGAATGTGAAACGGCATGAGTGTATTGTGAACTCATATCATCTCTTCCACAGATGGACAGTTGCTGTGTCTGTGTGATGGCCCTAAATGCCTCCAGCCCACCCAGTGCCGCGGTACGCGGTGCTTCTCCTCTGTCACAGTCAGCGGCAGCGGGGTGGTGTTTGAGCGCGGCTGCCTGAATGGGACGGATAAAATCCTTTTACATTGCTTCACGGCTCCGTCCTTCCATCAGGCCATTTTCTGCTGCTCCCTGGACATGTGCAACAGCAACACCAACATGAGTTCGCTGATGTCTCTGCTTCCAACTGGTAGATATTAGATAATAACGTGCTTCATTTTAGCAAGGAAGGGCATTGTCAAATAGAGTAATTGTATCTAATTTTTCCATTTTCTCCGCTCTGTATCGGTTAATTTTCTACTCTTGCTTGCTTACAGCCCCAGAAGGTGAGCCGGTCCGGTATCGCGTAGAGACCTTAGCCCTCTTTGTGCTTGGTCCGGTGGTGGTTCTGGCTCTGCTGTCTGTAGTGTCAGTTTTGGCCTGCAGGAGGCTCCACCACGGCCGTCTGCAGAGGCTGCAGGAGTTTGACACAGAGCAGGGAGCCATAGACGGCCTCATCACCTCCAATGTGGGAGACAGCACTTTAGCGGTAAGAATAAGAGGCGTTCTTGTTGAAACAATGGAAAGAGTCAGTCATAACCATTTTCATATGTGTATGCTCCTTCAAAAGATAATCTGATATTTTTTTTTTATTTTTTTTTTAACGTTCTTTTTATTTCAGTTCAATCTGGATGCTACATCTTGAACATATCTGAAATATTTTACATTGAATGTAGTAAATGACTTACAATAAAGGCACAAAA